TTTTAGAAACGGTAGGCCATTACAGTAGTAACAGCAAATTTTCTGAGGGCCTCTGGTTGCGTATTGGAAACAAAGCTGTGCCAAAGAGGAATACAAAAAAAAACGTGCATGAAAATATGAATATCTCACGTATTGCAATTTCCAATACAATTCACGAAATTGTCATCAACAAAATTAGGGATGCATATTTTTTGGCGTTAGTTTTCGTGTAGGTACATGTATTTTATTTTATTAATAAAATGGAAACTTGAAACTGACCTGATCAATCTTTCACCAAATCGCTAAAACTGGCGCACAAATGAAATGCACTGCGTGCGGTTTATCGTCGAAGGCAAAACTAATTTCGCAATACCTTAGAAATTAACTGAAGATGACGCGTTCTTAACCCGACTGGTTTCTCGTTATCACATTGCCATTACGCATAACTAAATAATTTGTTATGTCGATATTGAATAGATTTTTCAAGTTCTTTTATCGTCAATCATATCCTCATTGAGTGTCATCTTCTTTCCATTGCTTGTCTGATTCCTGCACATTCCAAGAACGCCTTTGCCTTCCTCTGTTCTTTTTCCCAGGATGTATCCCTGTAAAAACTCGTTCTGGCCACATGTCGTCATACCCATTAAGTATCAAAACCGCCCCAGACTTCCCAATTCTTTCTGATTTACAGGAAAGAGTTAAAGGGGCGCAAAGGAGGATGGTAGGTTTAGTCTAAACCCTTATATCGCGGGATGAGTTGAGTAACGACGGATGAACGTTTCGACGAAGTTTAGAAACATCGTTTCGAATTCCATTTCTAGGGTAAATGTAAATGAATCGACGTACCGTTTATAGATCATGAAATGCGATTTCGTGACATCCTGGTTAAATAGTTTAGTTTCTAAATTATTTAGGAAGATGTCAATCAGAAGCGAGGAGAGATCGTTTGTTGAATTTGAAAAGGCACTAAGATACCAATGATCTTCTTTTTCTAATAAATATAATTTCCTATTATAACAGTTTTATTTCTATGGGACGCATACTGGGTGTCGAAGATAGGCATTCCCAATCCTTTCAAATATGACCCGAATGTGTTATAAGTTGGTTTTAGAGGCCGAAACATCGATAAAGATTTTTACAAATTTATCGATGGATTTCAGCAAGACCTAAGGCTTATCTTCATTTGACATTTAGCAATATTATAAATCGTCCAGTAATCTACGACTGTACTGTCAATAATGTTGACAAAAGGACGCCACCACAATTTCCTCTCATGAGCTTTAGTTTGACAGTTGTATTTATTGCAATAAACTGAACGATTGAAACTTCTTTTCGTTCTTTTGTATAAAATCTTTTCAGCTTCAGCAGGATTCATTTGTTAGTTATACCACAGATATACGTTTCTTTACGTATATCTGTGGTTACACCATTGAATAAGTAATTACTTACGTAATAAGTAATTATTTATTCAATGGTTATACTCTTACCACCGCGCTATCGTTCCAACATTATATCACAAATATTGTTTTGGATATCAAATGCGTGATCAAAGAAATCCAGTTGCAAACATAAACCTCTCTTATCAGTCAATACAAGGAAATTCTTTATACTTATGTATTTAAGGACTTCCAGTAGCTCGAAGTCCCATGCTGGATTTGACTTCTTTGATACACCTCCATACGAAATGAATAGGAATAAATACCTCCCGGAAGAACAAATGCACCATAATTTATACTGGAAATGACAGGTTCCAAAGGTTTATAATCATTCACTGGCGAAACCTTAACATACATTTTCATGGGTGGACTAGAACGAGATTTTGAGGATTTAGTGCCATAACAACCACTCCCTGGGATAGGGGGGTACTCGAGGACCTAGTAATGGTCAAGAGATTCCAGGTCAAGACAGGCGGATGTTTTCAGTATTGAGGAAGATGCCTTGGTCAAACTAATGGCTATAGGTGGGAGACTTCAACGTGAAAGTCAGGACTGGTAAAGCTTACTGCGATACAATGTCACCAATTTATGACACAAGCCTCCGCTCACCCTCCTCTCGAAATCAATGACTTAAAGTATATGTTAACATTCGCTCCGATATTCTGCGAACCCACAATGATACTTTTACCAAACTTAATTATCTGAAAATGTGCGAATGTGTCGGTATATGAACTCAATAAGGGGGATAGTTATTAATTACAATATAATATAAAACAATTAGGAAAGTCACGCGACGCTGAAATAATGGGTTATGCTTGAATTTCCAAAACCATTACCGGAAACTTTATTTTAATTAAAAGGTGTAAATAAATTGGTACAGTTGGAACTGAATATTGAAATACCCCCAACCTATCAGCCCTAAGCATCATATTTTAGCTTGTTTTTTTTAGATACTACAGGTATACACAATTTTCAGGATTAGCATTATGTTACTTTACGTTAACTTTATATTCCATTGAGGGAAAGTAAAACAACCAAAAACAGTGGCAATTTTTTTTAGAACACGATGCAATTTACAAGTTAAAATTAATATTACCACCTTCCCTAATGGAACCGTATCAAAACAAAGATAGCACACATACCTAATTTCGTATAATTATTTTGCTTTATGAAAAAGAGCGATTATGCTATAGATCGTTCGTTTTTGTTTATAATTGAAATTAGGAAATTTTTGCTTTTATTTAGATTGATCAGATAATGTGAAATAAGTTGCAGGTGTGTTTCCTTTTTGTAGATTTTCCTTTGTGTTAGACATTATTTGTTAAGCTTTATGTTCGTATGTGAACGTTGCTGTCGAGGTTGCTGTTATATACATACAGGGTGTCAATTTTAAAACTTGCAGTCGGGCATATTTTCCAAACTAAAGAAGATATTGAAAATCGCCCAAAACAATTTCGGGAGTATCGAGGGGGAACCAGAATGACGTTATAGGTGAGTTGCTTTTAAATTTTGTGTTTACAAACCCAGTAAATTTCTTGTGTAGTTTGGGCAAGCCGAGTCTGCTTTACATTTTTTTTTTTTTAAATAAATGTAATGTTGGTTGTAAATCTAGTTTTTGTGGCATTCTGAACTCATTTTCAGTGACGAAGGGTGGGGTGACAGTTTCATTTATTTTTTTAAGTGTTTGCACTAAAGTTTTGCGTTTTTACCTGGCGATACAAAAGTCCGATTGTATTGTAAAAAAGGCGTTCAATCATCCAATTTTCCAATTCGCTGCTACCTTTTCAAAAGAGAAAATTAGCTGTCAACGGGAGAACAATTCAACTCGGCGATAAATTCATTTTCTAGAGTCGATTTACGGGAATTTATCCCGTGAACCAATTTGTGTATTTTTTTATAAACGATAAGTAACCCAAACAAAGATAAAGTAAGGTTTTTCTTTTTATTTGTGAAATTGATTTTTCTTAGTTCATTAATACCATTTTTTTCTACGGGTTAAATTTTATTTAGTATCCAGAAAAATTTATTTGAATAAAATTTTGTACCAAGGGTTTGATTAGTTAGAAATATTTAAAAAAATCTAGGTAATTAATTAGATTTGGACGTGAACATAAGACAGAGTTTAAATATTATTTTGTATTAATTACATCATGTACATACATTTTTTAAATCACAAAAAAATGTAAAGAAAACTGGAGTTGGTGCGATATTATTTTCAATAATATCTTTAAACAATTCAATTTATGTGACTACTTATTTGAGAGTGATCAAACTAGAGATCAGGTTTTAATTTTCAGATTGATTGTGGACATATTCCTTTCGAAAGATAAAAGTCATTGAACATTTATTAATTACCGAGCTACCCGTGGTATTAATGATTGCATTACAAACAATTAATTGTTTCAATAAAATTTTTACTAGTGCCGCAGAGAATAAAATTTATTTTCTACAAGAGCGGTCTCTAATCCCTGTAAAGTAACTAGCTTATACCATATTACAAGATTCGCTTTGAAGCACACTTCATAAGTTGAACCTAAAAGTTAAATTATATCTGGGGTGAATATGTTTGCACCAAACTAAATATAAATAGAAAACAAATAAATGACAAATTTTTACCATCCCCACGTTAGTAAAGGGAGCAATGGGGTAAAAATTGACCCCCTCCTCCCACTTTTTTTGCGGAACTACACGTTTTGAAGCACCAGGAATTCGAATCAAACAAGGTCTCGATGATGTCGGTCTGTCGGTCTGTCTGTAGTCTCATTTCCTTCTAAATTTGGTCCACATATTCTTAGACATAAAAGAGCACGCACGCGTAATGATCACGTACTTTAGATTTGGCGTACTTCCACATGGGCAAGGGAACCATATATGTATATTTTTTAGTAGCAACCACTATGTTTTATTACATATTTTAAAGTGCACAGAAGAGTATACATGTAATGAAAACTAGTGGCCGTCATTAAAAAAAACAAGCCCCCTCGTTACCATGCAGAAGTACGCCACTGGCCACAAATTTAAAGTACTTACGTAGATTGGTCGCAAACAACTTTTTATAATTTTGGACAACATGAAGGGCTTCAAAAGATGTTCTTTTGAAGATGTATTCAGTGTTCCAGACAACATTTATGAGTAATTTACTGTCAAAACGTATTGGTTTTAACTTAGTATCCTTGTGATTTTTTGTGCTTGTTTCAGAAAGCGTCACCAGTCACTTCATGGGGACTGCAGCATAAGAGGACACTTATTGTTTCGACAACGCTACCTACACTTGGAGACAAAGCTTGGGAGTAATCATAATTTGCATCCTCTTTGGAGGCTCGAAGAAGTATCACTTAACAACACTTTCCTACAAGATAAATAATTTCGTTATCAACTACAAGTTCGCCTTTCTTAGAGTTATCGATTAAATTTTCAGAAGTATCACTGCTCGTAACATAAACACCATAAAAGCCAACAACTCTGCACATTGATTAATATTATTACGTTTAACAAGTCTCCGTTACGATGAGTTCTTAGCTAGGAAATGTTCGATTAAATTTTAGCCGTTCACGGTGCTAATTATTCTTTAAAATTACTTCTAGATATTGCTACGATTTTGGGTCTTTCAGTTAGGTTATTTTTCGTACCGTAAATGTCCACATCCGGACGATTTCGATAAAATTATCTATGCATGACTATTCGTCGCGATTGAAATATTGACAAGAGGACATGAAATTTTCACAAGTACTTAATACGTACGTACCAATTTGTAATACGTTCTGTATTCAACCCACTACTTACTCCAATCTTCATGGGGCGGTTTACTATATCAAGAAGGAGTACCTATAATAGTAGTTTATATTACATTTTACACACGCAATTCAGTTAGTGTGCTACATATATAAGTTCTCTCTTTGGAAAAATAGCATTCGCCTTTTTTTCTAAATGGGAATCTCACAAAACACCGACGCATTTAAGTTTCAAAGACTATTAATGGAAACTGCGGGATTTTGGCCAAGAAGAGAAGCCTCAATTTTCTACCTGATTTACGGATTATCTGCCTACGGAATTGTGGTATTATTCGCAGTGTCTTTGCTATTGAGTACCATGGTTGTGAAAGATTTTAAACAGTTAATTCTAGGATGGTCGATGTTTACAGCCATGCTCAATTGCTCACTAAAATTTACGGTTTTCCGTGTTAAAATGCCGGCCTTTTTGGAGCTTTTGGACTTCATTCGTTCCCCTCATTTCTTTTATCACAGAGAGGAGTTCGACCATCACCTCAAACGAATTATTAAAATTGCGACTGTTGTGGTGAAGCTGTTTTTTTGTAGCGGCATGACCACGTATACCTGTTTAATATCGGCTCCGTTATTTTCGAAAGAGGAAAGAATCACGCCGTTTCCGTTTCCGTTAGACTTAAAACAGTATTCTGTCATGGTTTACATTTTGGTGTACGTTTTTCAAAGCGTTGCTCTTTTTGCGGCTGCTTGGATAAGTATCGGATTCGATAATTTATCGACGGGAATGATGGGTCTGTGTTCCGCGTATTTTGCTATTTTACGTCAAACTATAATTTTTGCGACTGAAGAATTTCGCAATGAAAAACTCGATAACATCAATTTGTATAGTAAACATGATAAGCAAATTTACAGAGATTTGAGTGACTGTTCGACTCATCACCTTGCTGTAATCAGGTCAGTCGATAGGTATGTGCATGTAATATTACTAAGCTTTACATTTCTTGCAGCTTTACACAACAAATCGAGAAGATATTCTCTTATGTGTTCTTAAGCCAATTCTTATGCAGTGCTGGCGGCATTTGCCTTTCAGGATTCACGTTTATAAACGTAAGTCGTAAACTTTTACGGCACAAATTCGGCACGAATCAGTCTACATAGTTCCGAGATATGAAAAGCGAAAAGCACCGGCACGAATGCGGCACTAACCATTGCAAAAAATAATTAATTACAAGTCTTAATGCACATAATTTGAAATATTTTGCGAATTTGCGGTAGTCGGCAGAACAGCGCGGTAGTTTCATTGGAACGGTACAGAAATCTCGAGCGCCACCAGGAGGTTTCAACCCTTACTCGTGGTAATAGCGGCGGTTTCCGAACAGAACTTCGAAACCTATGGGTACTCAGACGGAGAAATGGAAAACTCCAGGGATCATTGGGGCAAATGACGGCCGTCGGAAACGGTAGCGCTTACCCAAATCGGAAGGGAAGCACAAATTATAACGGTATAGCTACGGGAAAAGGACACAAGTAAAGCAAACCCCCTTTATACCTATAACGGAATGAAAATATCAAGCGCTTACTTTGAAATTAAACCGGTGTCGTGAAATTAAAAAAAAACTAAAACGGGCTAAAACGCACGCGAACAAAGGGAAAACTGCAAATGATCCCCTCTAAACCATGTTTTTACGTTATACAGGGTGTTCGTTTAAAAACTTCCCACTGCGGATTTATCGAAAACCACTGATTAAAGAAAAAAACGCCGAGACACGTTAAAAGATTTGTCAAGGGGGACAACTTTATTTTGATGTTTGATTTTTTTAAATCGGTCGATTCGTTTTCATGAAAATTTGAAAAATCTTTATTTAATTTATTTTTCTTCAAACGTCATATAATATTGACATTACGTAGCCCAGCACTCTGAGTTAAAGTTTGACTTTTTAGAACAATCGAACAAGCGGCAGTGAAGTATTTTAGTGCCTAGGCATTAAAACGCTTCAGTGCCAGTGTCACATTGTTTTGCTTTGACAATTTGATGTTATTTACATTAGGTTCTTGGTTCACCTAGTAAGTGCGTTGATCTTTCCTTCTAATTTTAACAGAATAAAAATATAGTCGATCAAAGAAGCTATTTATTTATTTAAATAATAGTTAATGTTGAAAGTGCAGTTAGTCATATTACCATTATTGAAATTAAAACCTGAGCTCGTTCCTGCAGCATCCAAGTTTTGAAGAGTCAAGTTTTGTTTAGCTTGTCTTATTTCTAATGAATGAATGAAGTATTTTCAAAAACTGGATTGGTTTATGCTTCAAATGGAGTAGTTGAAGTCATTCCATCTGATAAACCTTGATTTTCTAAAGTTGTCGAAAGTATTTTTTGGGCAATTTCATTTTTATTTGAAATCGAGTCTTCTATGTAACCTTCAGCCACACAATTGGACTTCTAGCCACCATGTCTCTTTAAACAAAATAAGCCAGAAGCACATGTTCCGAGAAGGTTCCTGCGTTTCTTTTGCTTACACCAATCAATAAATTTCCTACAAGTTTTGTCGGAAGTAAATTTTCGGACGCCGCTTCCTCCACGTCAGGTGGCGTGCAATATGAATCCATGATCGCTAAAGGAATTACAGAAATTACTAAGGTCGTAATTTTCTAAAAATTGAAAAGATACTTACCTACAAAAAACTCATCCACAATTAAAACGTCAAATGGCTAACTATAGCAATATTGTTATAGTCACCACGGTCGACGCGTTCACGGCTACCTATAACGATTTGAAAACCATTATTTTGGCGTTATTCTCATGTTTGAAGAAAAAATAGCATATATTATGCGGAGCTAAAGTAACTTCTTCTGGTTCGTCAGTATTTTGCTGGCCTCGCTTCGCTCGGCCATCAAACGCTGACTCGCCATGAAAAGTATCACTTTAGCTCCTCATAATATAATATACTATTAATCGACCTATCTTAATTTGTTCAGTTAGAAAACAAAAACAAACGAAAACATCACTTATTTATTGTTATGGGAAAGAAAGAATTTCATTTGCTGCCAGTCACCATTGTGACAACCTTGGGATAGTGAAAATTAATTTATTGATTCAGATTTTAGTTCCAAAATGGTTTACACACTAGCCGAAATAGTACCTACAGTCAAATTAGACTAAAAAATGGGCATTCCGTGCATCAGATATGTCATCTCTATTTTTTCTTTTAAATTGTTAGGATGAACATGGATGTGAAAAATCCGTTTTCGACATTGAAAGACCTGTGCAAGCGACACAACACTTGAAAATATGTCATTTTTCTTACCATTTTTTGGTTTTTGTAAGTTTTACTCCTGAAGGGCCGATTTTAATGCAATTATTGTCGTATACTTTTTTAAACTAGACAAAATTTGTGACAATTCAAGCCCTTAACCGACTATGTAAGTCTAATAGTTTTGTAGATACAGCGTTTCAAAATTTCGTAAATTGTTCAGTTTTAATCAAATTTGCCTTTTTTTCGAATAAAAACATCATGAACATTTTTATAATTTTGTTCGTTTGGGGGGACTTTGTGGTGAGGAGTCCCCATAAATACGCACAGAAGGGGCTAAAATGTTGATATCCTCTGGATCCTCAGCTTCTTCCTTGATAAGAAAGTTGTCATCTTCTTCTTCTTCAGCATGATCCACTACATGTTGCTGTTTTTTGAACTAGACAAAATTTATGACAATTTAAGCCCTTAACGATCTCCGCAAGCCTAATAGTTTCCGAGATACGGCGCTTCAAATATTGGTAAATTTATTAGTTTCACAAGTTTTATCAAAATTTGCGTTTTTTTTCGCAGAAACTAAACTTACCAAATTTGCACGATGAATTGTCGTAAGTCGTGAGTCGTAATAAACTTGTTGAAGAAGTACTAAAAATTTCGGGCAATGAAAGCAAACGAAATATTGATTTTTGTCTTTTAGTGGAAAAATATCCATGTTTATATGTGATGGGTTATTCAAACCATAGTGTTGTGCTTTCTGTTACTGTCACAGATCTTCTATAATCGGTGTCCCTTGTCGAGCAAGGTCAGGCAAAAGGAAAAAATTCAAAGATTTCGCAATCCATGCAACAGGTAGTGGATCTTGCTGAAGAAGAAGATGATGACAATTTTCTTATCATCTGAGAAGCGGAGGATCCAGAGGATATCAACATTCTAGCTCCTTCTGTGCGTATTTATGGAGACTCCTCACCACAAAATCCCCGCAACCAAACAAAAGTATAAAAATGGTTATGAGGTTTTTATGCGAAAAAAAGTCAAATTTGATTAAAACTGAAGAATTTACGAATTTTTGAAACGCTGTATCTCCAAAACTATTAGACTTACAGAGCCGGTTAAGGGCTTGAATTGTCACAAATTTTGTCTAGTTTAAATAAGTATACGACAATAATTGCGTTAAAATCGGCCCTTCAGGAGTAAAACTTACAAAAACCCGTAAATGATAAGAAAAAAGACATATTTTCAAGTGCTGTGTCGCTCGCACAGGTCTTTCAATGTCGAAAACTTGGATTTTTGACATCCATACTCAGTCTAAAAATTTAAAAAAAATAATAGAAATGACACATCTGATGCAAGGTATTATGATAATTTGACTGGACTAAAAGAGTGGAAAGAGTGGTGAAGTAGTTTTTGGTTAAAAAGTTTGTAATTGTACTCTGCTTGAGTGACAGATGTGCCAAAAAGGGCCTTTTCGATTTTGTATTTCAAATCGACATTGTTTCTTTTCTTCAATTCCGTTGAATTGTTCTTTTTTAGATCACTCGGATTTGTCACCCCTTCGAGTTTCTTTAGAATACTTTGGATGCTTCATCAGATTCTTTAATTTCCTTTAGTTCTTCCCATTATTTTATCTTTTGGACTTTTAAGATTTTTTGATTCTTTGGATTAGTCCGGTTCTTCAGTTTCAGATCCTTTAAATCTAATGTATGCCATTTGAAATTATTAATTTTCCTATTTTTCACGTTCACTATGAGCTTGTGATCCCGCCGTTTGCCTGGTAGTTTCAGACCAGAATCCTAAGCACGATATCCTCCCTATGTAATTCTTCAGCGCTTTAGCATTCTTTCACAATGTGCAAATGTGGAAGCTAATTCGAAATGGCATTTAAAAATCAGTAATAATCGTTGAGTGGAGTTGTTGATGTAGTAGTTAGTGTTATTTAATTTTTAACCTGTATACACCTTGTTTCAGTCAGAACCTGGAAGCCCGGAGTGTATATTTGCCTTGAACCTTATGGGTACACTCATGTTCCAGATCACGTTGTATTGCGCTTACGGAAATGAAGTTACTGTTCAGGTAAAGTGTTATTTCTATTGTTACGTTTTTTACGGATGTCTTTGAATAAAATCAAGAACGATTTATTAAAGACTTTTACTCCGCTAGTCTTGTTGTTGGAACACTCCTTAATCTTATATTAATTGGAGAAGAGATGGAATTGATAAAGCGTGTAGGTACGTGGAAACACGTTCAAATGTGATAGTTTTAAATGAAAATGTAGGGACTATCGAACCAACATAAATTACATTGCAATATATTATTTTGTTCAGAACTATCAAATAGGTCTAATGAAGGACTTATCTAACACATTATTGGCTGCCTAGAAACTAGTCGTTGTGACTTTAACTTTTTCACTCGTATTGGTTTAATCATGTCTGTCTGTCTGTCTGCTAGTTTGAGATAAAATTAGCATTTGATATCACCAGCTCAAGATTTTGGAATTCGTTTCACCCTTTCCCCGCATTAGTGTAGAAAAAATTAATGTTCATTTCAATATATTTGTGATAAGTTATGCCACTGCATTGCATTTAATGGTGAACATTTTGAACATTCATTGCGATAAAAACCATTTTACTGCTAATTTCGTTTTGTCTTCAAGGTTTAATAAGAAACGTACACGTTCATTTGTTTTATTTTTTATGTAGGATATCTGGATTAATGTTATTGATCTAATTAAAATACATTTTTTTGAAAAATTTTCTTGAATACTAACATGTTATATCATCGAAAAGAGAAAACAATAAATTTTGAGATAGTAAAGTCTAATTGAACATAGCCCCTCTGATTAGCTTTGCTCGTTTCAAATTTCCGGAAATAAGTTTCGAAATAATTGCGAGCTTGAGAGTTGTGCTAAAACTGACTTTGTATACTGTTCTATATTCAAAGACAAAACAGTTTTCTAATAAAATCACGTTCCCGTCACTAGATGTTACATTACCTATTATAGCCAAAGAAATTCAGTTCGTGTACAAAACTTTTCCTATTCTTTCATCGTGTATGATGAGTGTCTCAAAAATCTACCACAAATGTCTGTAATAATGTAATCTTCGTAAATGGTAATTATTATTCTTTTTGTTATTCTAATAATCTAATGGAAACGTAATTGTAATGCAAATTTTAATGCTATTTTAGAGTGCTATGGTATTAGACGCTTGTTACATGACTGAATGGATCTATTGTGGCCCAGAAGTGCGTCGAAGTTTATTCCTTATTATGGAACGTTCGAAACGTCCGTTGGCGTTAACAGCAGGCAAATTCGTAAACCTTTCCCTTTCGTCATTGGTTTCAGTAAGTCCATGAATTGTGCAATTGACTCAATTGTAATTATTTTTTAGGTGATAAAATCTGCTGGTTCTTATGCAATGGTTTTGTATCAACTGTACCACTCCTAATCTATGTATCGCATCACGTCACATTTACACAAGTGTCTTTTTGAAATAAAGTTTGTGCACAACCATTTACATTTAAGTACTTATTGTAACCGCTATTTCCATCTATTCATTTGCTGAGAAGTAATTTTTAAAATACTAGGAATATTTTGTGTAGTTCGATTCATTTGTATATGTACGTTTATCTTTAAGTAAGGATCGTTAGAAATATCACATCACTCTCTCGAATACATTTCACACCTCCGTGATTACTGCACTCGTATTCGCCGCGTGTGGGAAGATCTCGTATGTAGGTAACATTCATTGCATAGTAGGCACTACAGCACTGTGTAATGACTAATGAGCCACTATTTCACAACTGTCTAGTAATATACGTAGTGAAATAAAAAGTAATGTGAGTGTGGTTCCTACATTATTTCATTTGATTTACTCATTAGACAACAAACCGAAATAATCATCACAGTAACGGATTGGCGTGTAGTTTGAACATATAAATTCACTTTACTTATGTTCAAATTGATGCCAAAAGAGGATTATGATTAGAAACTGTCAGTTGTGATCAGAATTTGGTTCCTCCATTTCTTAGTGTTCTAAATATACCTAAATGCAAGCCCTTGGTACCCACCACGAAGTTATACTTGAAAAATGTGCTAACATGCAAATGCATTAAATGCGATTCCGTAGTTATGGAAAGGCAAAGCGCATACATTACACGTTAGCAATTGTCATATCATACAACAATCGATAGCTTTCCAAAAATATGAACACCGACTTCTCAAAAAAATCGGATACATACTCCGTTGATTAGTCGCCTTTTACGACACGCAGTGCCTCTGCGGTAGGGTTATTCTACTACCCGTCCCCACACGGGGATTAAATTTCGCGTATACTCGTGTCCGCCTTCTTGTCCAGTAATATATATTTATTAATTTAAAATCCAGTAACTATACACCGCGTATGTACTACTAACTACAGTAAAGAGTCTATAACGTATACTCTTTGCTACAGTACAGTCTGTTTGATTTTAGCTGTCACAGCGGATATCACGGCTACTATTCTAGATATGATATAGATTATAGAAGAAACATTGTTCAAGATATAAATTTGCATTATCTGGTATAGCCAAGAAAATAATTGAAAATTTCATGTAGTAGGTGCAGCGGTGCAGCAAATATTCAAAACTTCAAATATAATATAATTTTATTGCATATTCTAAGTGTACAACATTCCCTTTCCAATGATATATCATATGTAAATTCGACATAAAATGATGTACAGTCATTGACAAAAGTAATGGTCGCCTAATAGGTAAACCCTTTGGAGCATAAGGAACGAACATGCCTATAAGTCCTATAACATCGGGCTCCGTGAGTTTCTTCAAGGAGGAGATACCATCATTTGTTGGTGTTCGGATTCCCAAGTTGCACAATATATTCAAATGTTGCAGAATTTCCCTATTCGGCGATCATTACTTTAGCCAAAGTCTGTACGTCCTTAGCATATTCACTTTTTCATCATTCGAATAATTATCACCCATTTCGTAATTGTTTCTATTTATTTTAATTATTCTCTTCTAATGAATGGCGCCCCCGTGCCGCCCTCTACATTAAAAAAAAAATGTTCTGTAATAATTGAAACTGACCGTCTGCGTCAGCGAGAAGAAAGTCACAATTCGCCATTATTCTTTTAGTATTTATTCTTTATACTTGCTTACATGATGCGGTCGATTCGCGTCGCGAAATTCACTCCCATAAATTAGGTTTTGAAGCAGGAAATGTTCCCACATCTCAGAAAATTCAGCGAGGCGAAGAATTCGCGCCTATAAATTATACTACTAACTATAGAATTCGCGTATGGGATAATTTTCTCTCAATGTACCCTACCTAGTAAATTTAAGAAATCCGGTTGTCGAGGAAAATAAGTGAGTTCTCTCAAAGGCAAATTCAAAATTCCTTTAAGGTGAACTTTTTTGGTGGCAGTAATATTAATAACGTTGATTTGCCCAACGGTAACAAGAAGATCAATGTCTAAGCAAAAGGAAGTTGAGAGCAAACTACACTAATATTATAGTATTAATATGTTCACAACAAACAAAAACGAAACGAAACGAAAACATCCTCTAAGAGCTAAGTACGTAAACATTAAACGTACAATAGGAACAATTACATTATATAAAAAATGAGTGAGGGTATAACAATGCATAGTATCAACTGTCCACTAATATGTAAGAGTTTTATTTTCTCAAGTACATTTTCCAAATTGTATCGTATTTAGTGCTGGATTATAAAGTCGAGCTTTGGAATGCGCATGCCTTCTTTCGCTTGATTTATTTCTTGAGCACGTTTGTAGACGGAAACTTTTAAGCGGAGTGTATAAATAACTTCCATGTTGGTTTAATTGCAAATTTTTAAATATAATTATACTCTGGCGATTTACACGATTGTTTCTGCGATTCAAATTGGTTTGGACCGAGTTTCTAAACTTTTTCTGCCATTTTGGAGGCTTTAAGTTGGATTTATTAAATATGTAAGTGGCCGCCATTTGTTAAATCATTTGTTATCTCACGCATTCTTTTTAGGAATTCTGTATACAGGGTGTAGAATTGGTTTACGCAGTATAGGTATTTCTTTATATTGACATATTTTCTATTATAGCAAAGTTGTAAATAATTTTTTATAGATTTTAAAATTCTGCGTCCATTAAGTAAGTAAGTAAGTTTACTACTGCAGCTGGGTAAGCTACAATAAAGTGCCAGAGAGTAGATGAAACTTATGAGGTTGGAAATAATTTAGTGTTGTTAGTGATCGTGCATTTATTTATTAGAATAATAATTTTTTTTTAATTTAATAATACGTTGGATTGGGACTGTATGGAAGAACAGGGTCTCTCGGCACTGAATGCAGTCCCTTTCCCAGTTCTTATTAGTGTTTTTTTTTTTTTTTTTTTTTTTTATTTTTTATTAAAGGCATCGACAGCTAAGGTCATTAGCCTATTATATGTCTAACCTACCCAAAACTACTTATAGTTTTCCGAATACATCAATTTCCTTTAAAAAAGCTATTAATTTTCTGATATTTCCAGCTGTTCGGGTCATTTCTAGTGGGTTCGCAGGTAGCTCAAAACGTCCCCTACTGATCGCCAACTGGGGACACACATGTAAAATGTGTTCGACAGTGATCTGTTCCCCACAGTAAAGACATAGGGGAGGAGGCTCACCACGTAATAGGAATGTGTGTTATTTGTAGAGTTTTGATTTTGTTTTATGGTGAATAAATTATATATTATTATTATTTTGGTGTGGGAAATAGGAGAAATTAAGGAAATTATAAATTAGCATTTTAGTAAAAACATTTCTACGCAAATGCAACGTCATGGAAATGTGCAGACAATAAAACCTTGTATCTACGGATGCTACTCCCTTAACAGGCAACATAAACTTCTGAACTTAAAAAGGAGGGCTGCCGCTCTCACATTCTACAATAGATTATCAGAGAGAAACATTGACGAAAAATAGCATGCCTCGTATCAAATTTTTGTAAAATTGTTACGCTTTATTATTGAAATGAACCTTGAAACTGGTGGGTGTGTTTTACTACTTCTATCATCTAACCATGGATCTACTCTCATACACATAATAATCGAGTGTGCTGGTCATTGTGCATCATACACACTCGAGGTATTAGAAAAGTCAGTAGCCAATTAAGACAAGGGCTAATTTGAAAGCCTGAGTGAATTGGTACAATATTCCGGAAAGGAAGTTTTGTAGCGAGATCTGCAGTACCTACAAATTTTCCTGTGCTCAGATTTCTTGGGGTAAATTTTATTTAGCTAATCGATTTTACAGGGGTGAATTAATATGGATAGAATTTACGTTAGCTTTAAACCCGTGGTTAGAAGCTTACATTAAACACTAGAGGTATTCAGAAAAAGTAAAATAGTATGTGTACCTCGTAGTAAAGGCTTACCAATCTACTATTTCGTTAAGCAAGAGAAATAGACAATCTTATCAACCTTCATCGTCATCTGGTGTCACCGACAATCTTGTCGCTACCACACCAACATGACGTCTTTACCAAACTCCCCTTATAAAAACTTACAGCGTAGTAACCTTTGAATATAAAATTTAGTAAACAGGATTAGAAAATCTCCCCCAAAGGGAAGTACGTTATAAAATTAGTCTCTCTATTATTAATACACGTTTGTAATTGCACCCAGTGTGTTATTTAATAAAACGCAACACTTTTATTAATCCTCTTAAGTAACTTACGTACATTATTCAGAGGATGAGGGGGTTGCACAATGTATTCGAGAGAGTCACGAAATACAAGCGAAAAATCAAAAACAAATATTGTTACAGTTATTTATTTAATAAGGAAACACAAACCTTGTACATTACATAGTTCAACTCAGTTAATGCGATACCTGAACTGGTTTGGAATCAACTATTGTAGACGATTTTATTGTGTATTTAAAAAAAATTATAATTCACAGGGGGGTTGGCAAAATGCTCAAATCCAAAAAGAGGACCGCAGTGTCTAAAAGGGTGGGAACCTGTGAACCACTGAATTATATTATATTTACGAATAAGTACCTTTTGATTCATATTAATACAATTACCATGTGCTGTACTAGATACATAGGTATACTTCTAAACTTCCATGTACCAAACTGACTAACAGTGCAGATTTTGCGTATAATACAGCAAAAGGGTGTCGGTGATTGCCAGTTCGGTAGATTGCCGCTATTGTGCATATAAGAGATTATGCATTATAAAGTTGATATAAAACCACTGCATAAGAAGCGGCTGACCTAAACACCTGCAATTAAAATGTAAAAGGTCGACTAAAAGAATGTGTTAACCTTACTGAAACAAGTGATGTAAGTGATAGATTAATAAATTTGCCAGCCGTCAAAACCATTGGTCGCTTGGACCGCTCCATTATTAGGAAGAGATTTTTGCGAACTTCAGAGCCACAGTAAATCCATTCCGTCATGTAACACGCTTCCAAGACCTTATAGCTCTGAAAATAATATTGGGATATGATATACAGTACCATGACATTAATTACCTGAAGCGTTACTTCGTTGCCGTACGAACAGTACAATGTAATTTGGAACATAAGTGTACATAGGAAAGTTAAGGCAAACATAAATTCCACACTTCCGGGTTTGGACTGAAACACACGTTTACATTATCTCAGTACACTGTGGCACGTACGACTTGTTGAGTGCACAAAATAAAGCAGTAATACTAATAGTTAAAATTCATACAGGATGGAATCTTCAGCATATTCAGTTGCATTTTACATTGGGCAGTGGGGTACACTTTACAACCGTGACTAGACAACAAGTTGTTTTATATTTTTGCAGTTGCATTCTCGGATTTGCATTTACATTCTACAACCAAAATTATGTGTTGCGCTATTTTAAATCTTAAAACTGTGTAGTCCAGTAAACGGCGATTATTATTATATGAACCAATTAAAAATTGAGGGTTTAAGGTAATAACGCCAAGGGATGAAGAGAATGTAAAATAGATGTGTTACTTTTCGAAACAATTCATAATATTTCCTTGTCGATGCGCCAGTCTGTATAAATAATTATTTGTGCACATTTAAACGTTTCTCATTTGAAATAGTATTTAAAACAGTGATATATATCTGTACTTTTAAGCACTTCAACTCTTATAGTAATTCGGCTATCATAGCAAGCTTTAATGAGTGAACATTACACAAATACCTATAAATTAGGAAGGGAAGGCTATTAGAGCGTAAGTATACGTTTAAATAATCCAAAAGAATTACCTTAAATGCTCCGTTTTGGCCTATTAATAAATTAAGCAAATCATCGAATGATACCTATTGTAAGTACGCACCTCGGTTATATCATTAAATCACTAAAACAGTCTACTTGATTGTAATACAACCACTTTCCGTGGTATTTACCTATGTTATACATTTAGGGTCGGTTTTGCTTATCTAATTCAAACTTAGCAATATCTGCCAAACATTAATTATGCGTATTATATACCATACGTAGGGATATAGTCCACAACAGCCATGTCCAACCCATTTATCATCAAGGGCCATTCTAAAGTTTCCACATATAGCTGCAGGCCACAGTATACAAAGTTCACATTCAGAAAATTTTGATGTTTTATTATTGTAACAGTTTAGTTTATTTATATTCAAATTTCAAAATTACCGCTTGCTACGTTAGGCAGGATATAGGTGAGATGGCGTCACTTGTACGCGTGCTTCTTTCCTCGCGCAGAATCGCGTAATTTTTTCACTTCATTTCCGTTTTAAAGCCAACGAGGTTGTACTTGTAGAGCGTGGCATTGTGAATTCTTCTAAAACCAGTGGGTAATATTTGCCATCATTCACGTAAAATCTCTGGCAATTTTACCTGTTTATTGGCGTTGTCGAGTAGAGTAACTCAGAAGCCGTTTTCTCCGTTGTGAGGCTATATCTGGTGGAAGTTCATCGCCCTACCTACATATTCACAACCTCTTGGATAATTTCCATATTTCATTGATTTAAGTATTTTTCATTACCCTCCTGACGATTTCAGGGGGTCCATGTAGTAGACGAATTCTTGTACCGGTCAATCCATGTAGTAGGTCAATCCTTGTACAGACGAATCCTTGTATGTAAATGAATTTGCATCTTGCGAATATTCCGGAGTACGAACACCTGTTGATTGCCGGCAGCTATCCGGCGTACCACCGAGTAGATAAGCGCTAACACCTAAACGATACCGGGAGCGACCAGCTGATGGTGGAATTTTCGGAAGATACGATCTTTTACACAACCTTTTTTTTATTTGCTTCAATACCGTTAATCTAGTGTAACCTTCCGACGATTTATGATCGGAGCTTTGTATTTTGTTCGCATCTAGTGTTTTGAGGTCGTGGCTCTCTTCAAGAGCAACGCACCTGTATTTAACGTATGGGTAAACGAGCCGGCTACGAGTAAGCTATTTTTGGCCCTTCCGGCTCATATAATCGTTCCGAGCGTTGTAGCTTGGGGTTTGTTTTTGTGTTACAGAACTGGAACTTCGAAGGAGAGCTCTTTTTCGGAGAAGACAGCGTATGTGTTATTCAAGGTAAGATTTTTAATTTACTTGTACCCAGTGTTGCCTATATGAGTTGTTATTCGGGTTAACTTAATTCAATCTTTGAATCATTGAAATCTTAACTACATTTTTGCTCGATCATTGTTGTAGGGGTCTGGTAACGTAATTATTAGGGAAGTGTTCATGAATTTATTTGGGGATTATTTTTGTCATTTAAAGTATTTGTTATTGTCGTATTGAAGATACATTTTATTTGCCGATCCTGCACCGTTTTGTCAGGATTAATAAATCAGAATTGCTCGTAGTGAATTTATTATTTGGCTCTCTTGTGTTTTCCCAATTTCTATACAGGAGAGGTCAGAATTTGTGCAAAATTGGGTGGCGCTCAACTAATCATTTCTAGTGACTACCAAAGATCAAAAACTTATGTTATATGCCCAAACGAACAAACCGCTGTGGAAGATTCTCATCTCGAGCCCTTCTTTTAATTAAGAATCTGAGCTAGCTGGCCGTTTATGCGGCGGGGTTTGAGTTTTACAGCGCCGAACTAACCTCACGTTATATTATCGACATAAAAAGTATACAAAATAATACAACAAAACGAAAACATTCAAATAAAATCATAAAACCATTAGTGACCCGCTCAAGAAAATGTACAGTGCCTCATTTTGGTTGAGACTGATGCAGTGTATATCAGTATATCAGCTCTGATTTTTTAAAGACAGAGACTTGCGGCGTGCCACTTTTTTGTGAAACTTAATACAGACAGACACAATCTTGTTTGTTTCTGAGATGAAAACGAAAAGTTTGACTTTTGGGATGTTATTATATCTTACTTACCGATGTAAGATAGAAAAGATAAAAATTGCTTATTTTAGATATTTTTACGTAGAATCCAGTGGCGTAGTCAAAAAACAATTTCTGTGGTTCGACCCAAACTTGGTATTTTTTAATGTCACACCCTGTATATTTTAACGCCAATTTTTTGCATTCTTTATCGTGATTACATTGATGTATCATTCTATATTTTTTTATATAATTATATATTTTATCATATTTCTCAAAATTTTGAAGTGACATGTTTCTACCGTCAGCCATTTTTATTGATTGCTATCGGCTGCCTTAGTTACCATGGATACAATAAACAAAACAGAATCTCCATGAATTCATAGCCTACTATTTAAAAACAAACGCAAGTAGATTGATTCTGTTTGTGGTTTCACAAAGAAGTGGGCCAAGGTCGCAAAAACCGCAAATGTTTATCTTTAAAAACAGCTGATAGTATCAAACAAATTAGGACATGCGATACAATTCAATTTTATAATTTGCAAACATCGTGACGGGCCGCAGATTGCAGAACGCTTTTTATACGGAACTGTGTTGCTAGGGGCAGTGTAAAATTGAACATTTTCAACTTGGTAGTTGATATCGGTTTTTCAAAGTAAATATTTTTGAATTTTGTTGCTGACTTCAGCCACATAAAAACAAGGGAAGCAGTATCATTTAAATCTCAACATGCTTGTATTGTTATATATCCACATAATCCTGCTTCCAATGTCAGATCATCAAAATCATCTCTAAAGATCGGAGGCAAGATGGAGTAAATATATCACACAAGTAAGATCAATTCTAAAAATACAGTTTCAAATATGTGTTCGGAATGACACTATGAATATCTCTAACGAAAACTTTAGTGATTCTGATCAGAAAGTTAAAACACTCTGAACACATATGAATGTAAACGGTGAGGAATGAAGGCCCTTTCTTTCAATATCTTGCAAAGAAGGAAATCGGCAACAATAAATATCTGAAAATATGAAGCAAACTGGGGCAGGATCGCAGTAGCACAACCTTGTTTCCTAGTCAGGCCCCGGGTTATAAATGCGTTAACTGGGCAGTGGGTTATAGCTCAGAACGCCACTTTCTGGGGGCGGCAAGATATGCTAAATTATTTTTTATTTTCAATTTAGATCTGGACTTGTGGATAATTTTTGTCAAACGAAATGTGCCAAAATAATTATCATTCAACGTTTGGAGTAAAAAGCTGTTTATTTCTGCCAGTGGGACATTCCTCTCCTCTGTGGTTCTTGGTGCATTTCGTTTCAAAATTAATACAGATAAATAACCCTGTGAAGCTCGGTCACTAAGTACATAATGTAACTATTATAAACATTAGTTATGGGGGCGCCAAGCTAAGTGTAGCCCAGGGCGCTAAAAACATAGCCCGGGGCCTGTTCCCAGTATTGCCAAACTTGACGACCTTCTGAAATATGTCAATTGTCAATAACAGAACAGAATAGCTATTAATACTTTGGTGTTTAAATCTACGCTACTCGATTGACTGGATTGTATATCCATCTCCCTATTCTATTTCATGCATATGGCCTAGTTAGGCTCCATTTAATTAGTTAATTTTTGTATTTTTCTCACTATCAACTTACGGATACCGATGTAAATCCGGTGAGGCAGATTCCAAACGCGCTGGATAAAAACTGGCTCAGAAATACGTAAGAGAATATGTGCTCGATAGTTTCAGTAAATCTATAAATTGAATGAATGGAAAGTGTAACATTTGCGTGAACTTACTTAATTACAGCGAGATGATGTTCTATACATTTGCTTAGGTCATGGTATATTTCCTTGTCAAACTTCTTGTAACTGTGAATATTTCTAGTACGTTGTAGTTTTCGTGTCGTCGATATGATAGTTTCCGTTAAAATTGCGAAGTATGCAGAGCAAAGACCCATCATGCTTGTAGACAGATTATCAAATCCGACACTTGAGGAGCCGGCCACCACCAACACCACGCTCTGATACATGTATACCGAAACGTAAATTGCCAATGAGTGCTTCTTGAAATCCAATGGAAAAGGGAAGGGTGTCTTTCGCTTTCCCTTGGCAAAAAGAGGGGCTGTGATCATGCAAATTACGGTAATTGTGCAACTGCACAGAAACAACTTTACGACTGCTATGGCAAAGTCAATAATTTTTTTGAGATGGTGGTCTACATCTTCTTTGTGGTAAAAGAAATGGGGCGACTTGAGAAAATCTAAGAGGTCTAAAAACACTGGTCTTTTAAAATAAAATATTGAAAATTTAACGCAACAGTTAATAACGGCAATAAACGTAGCCCACGCCTGAACAATCTCAGCAAGATCTTCCAGTATAAAGATTCCGAGTAGCAGCGATAAACCAAAAACGAAGAGCATGAAATATTGAGCATCGCCATAAAAACGATAAAGTCTGCTCGAATCTCTGCTTGGCCACATACCACTAAAAATCAGGCATAGTCTTTGAATTTTAAACGCGTCGGTATTTAACGAAACTGCCATTTAGATGGCAATCGAAAACACGGTTAGCTAAAACAAACTTCTTTAACAATATCGTCTAGCTATAGAGTGGCTTGATTTATGCACTACTCACCTGTTGGAAATAGTCGAAAATCGCAGAAAATTGGTTTGCAGTACGTATCTACAATAAAAACATTCCTGTAACATGAAGATTTATCGGATTGAATTCCCCTCGCCCTCATTCTATCGTGATGTGCGGAAAATCACTAGTATGAATAGGGGTAGGTTTATAGGAACGTATGAGGGCATTGAATAAGTAATTATACTTATTCAATAATGAGGGGTAGAAACTAATTGAAAGTGGCAATAGTGGCTATACATATCCATGGGCATTGAATTTCGATTTTGGGCGATTTTAAAGAATACCCACTACTGGGGTGCAGTATTTTAACTTCGAACATTTTTACTTAGGAAAGGTAAGATGCTTTTATTTTCTCCCAGAAAGGGTGTCTCTCAAATTTAAGAAAGAGTACCTTGGTAACGTTTTCAAGGGGGCTTTAAACATTGGTAAACTTTAAATCAATTCTTTTGCAATTTGTCACTTTTGAAAATGTGCTAGCGTTCATTTTTATCACTTGTGAGTTTCGAGTAAATCACATCAACTTTCTAATTTCTTATCGACGCCATATTCGATTTTTACCTCATTCTATAGAGACAAAAATTACAAAATCAGTGATACTAAACACTTAGTATTTCATTTGGCAATCAACCTTGAATTTTTGTCTTTAAGTTTATAATGTATTTTTATGGCATTAATACCAAGACCGTGTCGATGGTGACCATGCGAGACAATGCATTTGGTTTCAATCACAATCAAGCATGGAATTATTGCCATAAGAAATACATTTTTTCTCTATCAAATGACGTAACAATCCAATATGGCGTCCATAAGAAATAAGAAAGTTTATATGATTTACTCGAAACTCACAAGTGATAAAAATTTTAGCACTATCAGAAAGCTGAGGAAGAATTACTATTTTTTTATATCTGAAAAAAACCTAGCACATTTTCAAAACCGAAATTTTTCCAGTTTTTTGGCTACAACTCCCCTATTTGTGGAACTTCAAGAAACTATGAATGGAAAAATTTATCTGGATAAAATTATGCATAACTTGGTCCACTTAAGTTAATTTTTATTTCTGATGGTTTACGAGATCCCCATAATCAAAATGAAAAAAACTCACCCTGTATAAGATGCTTTGCGAAGAAAAAAAATTTGCATAGTAATTTTTTGTCCTTGTTTGATGAATAAATTTATAACGTGATTTTTGCTCCGTAAAAAGTAGATAAATGTCATGTGGATTTTTTACTGATTAACAGATCTTGATTAGTCGTTATAAGATGTTAGGAGTTTATTTATAAATAGGCGAAAAATCAACGTGTAAATTTAGTCGAAGTTGAAGTCCAAAATCTATAAACCTTTTGAAGCAATAAAATTGCTAAAATTCAAAGTGAAGTAAGTAGCAAGAGTTGTTAAATAAATGATGGTTGGTGCTTTGGGGAAGATAAGTTGCTGCATTCCACAAATCTAATTTCTATTTTAAATTTAACTATAGATACTGTCACTTACTCTTAATCGTCAAAGGAAGCTACTTTCTTACAAGCCAACTCAGCCAACAATATTGGACAGCAAACATAAAAGCAATACGTAAATGGTAAGAGTGACAATCAAATATTTTATATAACCTTCTTAAACAAACCATCTGGACGGTTTCGATCAAATGACATATTCATTGGGTTTAAACAACGAGGAATATAAAGTGGAAATATTTATAATGCATATGAAATGTTCGTAGATAATAGGTAGCAACTCGTAAGACATTTGAAGTTCATTATGAAAATTCTAATCTAAGGATCGCTTTTTTCTACATTAAAACATTAAGATTTCGCTTTTGCTGCTGAAGTAACATGTTGAAATGTTTATTTTATTTTATTATGTTTTTTACGTAATAGAACGCACCAGAACTGAGTGGTACACCGAACTAAAAAGTGTTGATCTCCCTGTATATATTTTTCAAAGGGCCAAATAGCATTCCGAAAATAAAATATTCTTACAACAAGATTTGACCACCATAATCAGACTATCAGAGAGAGGGTTATCAATTCGAAGAGTAGAGTATGTAAGGCTAATGGCCGTTTGCACCAACAAATTTAAGCGGAGCTTAAAATCCATCTCCATGGCAACGATTATTGGGTCAATGGTTGCCATGGATTTTAAAAGCACCGCTTAAATGTGTCGGTGCAAACGGCCATTAGACCATCACTATCCTTTAAAACTTAGCAAAGAAAAAATTTGTCGCAGATGTGCCAGAAAAGGACGATTTCTAATAAATGTTGTCTTATAGAATTAAAAAAATGTATAACTATCCAGATCTTACCACCGTAAACGGCGATGGAGCCATTAATTCGTAGAATGTGTTATTTCCTTTTAAAATTTAGCACGGACAGAAGTTGTAGATCTTACCAGAATGAAAGTATTTCTGATCAATTTTGGCTGTAGAATCCAAAAAAGTACTCAGGAGGATTTGAGATGGGTCCGGGAGAAGAAAGTCCTACTGTATCCCACCTGTCCAATCCTGCCCTGCGTATGGATCGAATTAACAAACTGTTTGTCATAAAATACAATTCTTTGAATCGAAGACGAAACAGAGTATTTGAATAAGGTATAATAATTGTTTCCCATATAGAAAACAATACTTGTTGTTGACACTTTTGACTGGTCACGAAACAGGAAATTAAAGAAAGAAAATAGGTAGCGTTACACTGCATGATTCCTTTAAAGTCATTGAAATAATTCCCTTACTTCAATAATTGAAGTAATTTGAATACAATAAGTACTAACGTATTTAATTAGTGAAGGTTTAATGTCATTTAAGTGCAGACGATGTAGTCATGGGCTATTAGAATTACTACTTGGATCAGGCTCCCGCTTAGACGAGCACATAACGAAAAGTTAAACAAAATTGGATTACGTACTTTAGTCACGAAATGGACCATTTCATTAGAAGTTAATTACTGTTATTATAATGGGGCGTTACGCAGCTTACGCTTTGGGTACTTGGGTACGTAACGGTAGGTATTATACTTTCAAGTTTTCGATTTCAAAATATCTGATCCTGTAAATGCATAGACGCGATTCGTACATGTGAGATTCATCAAGTTACAATCCTTGTCTACATAAACGTAATCAATAGAATTTTAAAGAAAATAACTCTCTAGAGACAGTACTTCTTGCATTAAAGTCATACACGCTTTTAAATATCTCGAAGGCAATTCGGCTCAGTATACTAGTGCATATAAATGCATATTGGTAGCGAATATTCCAGAAATCTCGTGCCACTAAAGATTAGTCATCGACAATAAAAAAAGAAGGCGGATGTTGCGTAATCTTTCCGGGAAATATGACGTGTTTGTTTGAGAACGTTTTAGAATACTCGGAAGCGTTCGTAAGTATCCGAAAACTTTCGAGAAACAGGAAGCGTTTGCTATATAAGTAAATCGAATTGCGTTTCAGACAGTTCCAATTTCAACGCCAAAGTAATAAATAGTTCGCTCCGTTATAAATCAATTCATTTCAAGATTGTTATACATTTATTGTTAATTAATGGTAATTAAATAAAGTGCGTAATTCGAATTTTAAAATCGGTAAATTTTCTTTAATTTACTTTCTAGTTATTTTGTCTTATATGAATGAAATTCCATACATTTCTTTAATGAGTTAATGCTAATTCCGCGCATCTCATCAAGAATCAATTCAGATATATTTTTTGTACTGCGATTCAAATTGATAATAAAATAAATTGGTATTAGAACTTCCAAATTGGGTTTTCTACCCTCTTAATATTGTAATATGAGAGATTATTATTTCATTTTTGTATCCAAACCCGATCTTGTGCTGTATCATGATATCTTGATACCTACCGATTTCTCTTTTCGCCAATGATGAGACATAAATTTACTGTAAAATCGTTTTCGTTTTAAAGAAGTTATCTTGTTTTCTTATACGTTGTATCCAGATCACACAAGTGAAAAGACATACCATTTTTATCAACAGGGGTTTGAACGCATTATGTAATCCTCTGACTGAAAAATAAAAAATTTGTTGTGACTAGCACAGCTACCTCCCACATATCTGCGCTTGCGCGATTATGCTCTTTTATGCCTAAAAATATGTGTACCAAATTTAGTTCCAATTGGTTCAGCCGTTTAGCCAGAAATGAGAGTGCATACAGATAGACCGACAGACCAATACATATCATCGAGATTTTTTAGCGCATTTTTTAAGAATTAAAAAAAAATGTGCTATTGCGTTCGTACGTAGCCTATACCTTCAATGTGTGCCAGACGGTTATCAACCCCAAGCCCCCCCCCGCATGTGGTGCCAAGTAAAATCTTTAAGAATGGGGGGGGGGGGTGCTGAGGGTAACACGTTCTACTCTTCATGGTATTCCAATAAAACGTCTCACCGAGGGGAGGGGGTAGAAATTAATTTTATCTTTCGTGGTTTTAAAGGTCTCCACAAAAGGAGCTGTATTCTGCTAACTACCCGCCTTCTTTCTGACTTCTTATCAAAACGGGGAAGGGGGGAGGGTAAAACCAATTTCATAGTACTCTAATGAAAGTTTTCAACGAAAGGAATTAATTTCTACCAACCATTGTTCTCCTCCTCCACCTCATATCGTGATCCGAAGTAAATAATTCCTTATCTCTCAAGAATAGATTGTCGGAGGAGGGTAATAACAAAGGGCGATTGGGACGTCTGGAATAAACCTTAAAGAGGGAATATCGCTCGCGAAAACGGTTTGTGGGAAGAAAGTACGCAAAAAGGCAAAATGAATTGTCTGGACGAGACACATCTATTGGTGAAGTCGAAGCGAATATCGAAGTGTCGGGAGGGGATACTCATGAAGAGCAAGTGGAACGTCAGGACGAGACATATATCTATTGGTGATATCAAAACTTTCAGTGCAAATATCTGCAGAACGGACTGTCGGAGGAGAGTACTCTCAAAGGACAGAAAGAATGTCTAGACGAGAATACCGGAGCGATGTAAAAACCTAATTGTGAATATCTCGAAAATGTTGCAGGAATTTCTCTAAGGGCTTGATTCTTCTTGCATTATATTGCGTAGATTTTGAATGTATGCCAGGCGACCTTAAAATGTTTATGTGTGAAGAGCCCCCTTCTCATTAATCATCTACCATGGAAGAAACCATCGATAAATATAGCATGCTACGGCTTTATAACGCAGCTATTTCGGTTTAAAAAAATGCGCTTTATCTGCACAAGAGTAGGTATATGTGCACAATTTATACTTGTTTGATTCGGATTCCTGGTGCTTCAAAAAGTGTATTTCCATAAAAAAGTGGGGGTCATTTTTTGCCTTTATGGGAACTGCAGTATAAGGACACGTTTTTGTTTCGACGACGCTGCCTACACTTGGTGATCGAACTTTGGTGAAGTCATAATCGGCAAACTCTTTGAAGGCTCGAAGACGTTGAGTCTTCGGTACAGGAGATGGAGATGTAACTTCGTTCTAAACTACAAGTTCATCTTTGTCAGAGTTATCAATTAAATTTTCAGAAGTAACACTCCACGTATTGCTCTAACCTCTGCAAAGTGTCTGAGTGTCATGCATTATGAGCGGGGGTAAACTCTACGCCCTTCATGTACCAGGTTTGAGACCCATTCTGCAAGTGTACAAGTGGATGAATTTGGACTTAAATCAGATCTGAATTTTGATAGTGAAGAAAGTACTTAGGAGATAAATAAATAAATCAAGATAAATTAAGAGTTTATGAAAGGTGAAGTGGAGCTGGGCCTATTTGTAGAACGTGCGTTCAGGAATATAAATTACTACTTATCTCATTACCGTAAACGTTCACATCTGGACGATTTCGATAAAATTATCTATGCATTACTATTCGTCGTGCTTCAAATATTGACAAGAATTCGTAATACGCTCTATATTCACCCCATTACTTACTCCAATCTTCATGGAGCGGTATACTAGATAATAAAAGATTAGAGTTTATATTACATTTTACATACGCAATTCAGTTAGTGTGCATATACAAGTTTTATTTTTGGAAAAATAGCATTCATCTTTCTTCCTAAATGGGGATTTCACAAAACACTGACGCATTTAAGTTTCAAAGACTATTTTTGGAAACTGCCGGATTTTGGCCAAGAAGAAATGCCTCAATTTTGTACCAGATTTACGGGTTCTGTACCTGTGGAATTATAATATTATTCGCAGTGTCTTTGCTGTTGAGTACAATGGTCGTGAAAGATTTTAAACAGCTAATTCTAGGGTGGTGCCTGTTTACAGCCATGCTCAATTGCTCACTCAAATTTACGGTTTTCCGTGTTAAAATGCCGGCTTTCTTGGAGCTTTTGGATTTCATTCGTTCCCATCACTTCTTTTACCACAGAGAAGAGTTCGACCATTATCTCAAAAGAATTATTAAGATTGCAACGGCTGTGGTGATGTTGTTTTTTTGTAGCGGCATGACATCGTACGTCTGTTTGATATCGGCTCCGTTTTTTTCGAAAGAGGGAAGAACCACGCCGTTTCCGTTTCCGTTAGACTTCAAACAGTATTCCGTCATGGTTTATATTCTGGCGTACGTTTTTCAAGGCGTTGCTCTTTTCTCGGCCGCTTGGATAAGCTTCGGATTCGATAATTTATCGACGGGAATGATGGGCCTGTGCGCCGCATATTTTGCTATTTTACGCCAAACTATAATTTCTGTGACCGAAGCATTTCGCAATGAAAATCCCGATAGCATCAACTTGTACAGAAAACATGATAAACAAATTTTCAGCGATTTGTGCGACTGTTCGACTCATCACCTCGCTGTAATCAGGTCAGTCCATAGCTATGTGCATGTAATATTATTTATTTGTTACTCAGTTGTAAATGTTGATTTTAAAAATTTTACAAGTTAGTAGCTAGTAATTTCATTGGCCAGAATTAATGCGAAGTCTCTGTTACATGGATAATATGATATTTTAGACATTTCTTCGAAATCAATTTAAGAACTAATAATTTACGTTTACTATTGTTTACAAATGAGTAACAAATAAAATATTGTACATTATAAGCCAGGTAATAGTTTTTACTGGCGATAGGAGAAATTGACTGGCGAGCCTTCAGGCTTCAGACTCACTTACCTGGCTAATAATGTAAAATACTATAAACCTTATATTTTGCAGCTTTACACAACAAATCGAGCAGATATTCTCTTATGTGTTTTTAAGTCAATTCTTATGCAGTGCTGGTGGTATCTGCCTTTCAGGATTCACGTTTATAAACGTAAGTAGTAGAATCACTCTTTAAGGCACAAATGCACCACGAATCAGATTACATAGTTCCGAGTTATGAAAATCGAAAAGCACCGGCACCAATGCGACGACACTAACCAATGTAAATAGTCTCAACTGTTGTGCCGCTAGTTGCTACACGACTCAAAGGTCGTTGTATACAAATGTTGAAATCGTACCTGGCAAACAAAGAGAAATCGTCTTGGCAATTGTATGAGTATTAGAAATGCGCCCTCCTTTTATTTTCTTTTTTATAAATTCCCTTGTCCTGAAAAGCACTTTTAGAAAATTTCTTAGAACCTTTCCTAAAGGTCATTTCGTCTCGTCGTCCTCAAAGTCATCCCAGCAAATTTTAATAAAACCTTCGTAGGAATATAGGAATATTAATAGAAACTTTTAGATTTTAGGAATCTTGAAAAACTTCGGAGATTTAGAGGCTATTCCTTCTTTAATCTGTAAGGTAAATACCAGAGTAGTATAGAGCAACTTAAGACCGTCTGCAGGGGCACCTATAAAAAACAATATGCGGGTCACTCTGTAATTGGCCGAAAGCCTGTTGAGAACCCAGAACAAGAGAGAGACAATAAATAAATAATCAATAATTCGAATGACTTTACACTGCCAAAGCAAAATTTTGATCGACCACGGATTATCCTTACAATCTTCGGGGTATAAAAGCATAAACGTGATGTTAAATTCAAGAAAATTACTTTTTGCACTCCTTCGTTCTAAATCGCGTTTTCCCAATAAAACACGAACGTCGGGAACGTCAATTTTACAATTGACTATCTACTTTCGCGCACTACCTATTGCCTAAAAATTCAACGAAATTATCTATTTAGTGCCGATCATAAACTAAAAAGTAGTATGATGGAATAGTAAAAAAGAAAATATAAATACAGTTTACATCATTCCCTGTAGTACACGGGCAAAAATAAGCTTAAACCAGAAGTTTTGAACAATAAATTGACATTTTAAATTTCTAAATTTCTACTTTATCGGCATAGAGGACTTGATTTTTTCAAAAGAATTATAATGTCGCAAAAATTTCGCGAAAAGGATTTGAATTTATATAAATTCGATTTAACTAATCCGTGCAAAAAATAGAATACATTTTACGTGCGTGAACAGTATTTGCTTGATTCGCGCGAGATGCGTCGCTCGTGCGCGTTGCGCACTCGCGCCGCCAAACTTCGCGCTCATCTACAAAATAACGGTTCCCGCACTAATAATGTAAATAACTATTACGATGCACAAATAACTAATTTCCCAATAATTCAAAACATAAACAAGATAATATGAGCCAATCGCCTTCGAAGTAAGACAAATCTTGTACCTAAAACCATTGAATTTATCTAAATTCAATGCTAAAACTTGTAGATATCGACTTCGGACAGAGTCTCGGTAAATTGAAAAACTTAATACAAATGAATTCTCGGGGTCACACAAAAGTAATCATCAGTAATGTAGTTCAAATCGGGTCTCGATAAGTATAATTCTTCAGCAAGTAGTTTACATGAGTAAGTTCTCCAAACGGTTCGTTAACACTTATTATAATTGAGGAACAATTATGGAAGTGTAATTCAACAAACTTCGTGTGTACGTAGGTCACAGGTAACGGTTGATAGAATTGAAGCAGAATTTGCTTGACTTCATAAGATGGCAGCGGACTTCCCCAAGTGAATTTTTCTTGCGCAATATTGAGAAAAATTGAGGTTTCCAGTCAGGAATATCGATGTAGAAAGCACAGTTCGGCAGGTAATAATGAAGAAAAAAGTAAATCAGAAGTAGGATGTAAGAAGCCTAACAATGATTATACAAAGTCAAAAGGTAAATGCGTAATTTTTGTTAACATGCCGAAAACGGCCTTAGAATACATCCCCAAATGCGCCAGCCAAGTGCCAAAAGTAAAATAACAAGAGAAAACTTCACTAAACTTATACAGCACCAATAAAAATCCCAAAAGGCTGACAAAAGTTGTCGAATAACTGACTTCTGACTATTTTGGTGCCTGTGATATTTCAGTTATAGGATTTTTTTCTTCCAATATCCCACTTCCTTTTTTCTTCCGATTTTGTAATTTGAAATCAATCAGATTCTTGACATTCTTTTTTGTCTTCTTTACATGTGACTACATTGTCGACGTTCATCATAACGCAGGTACGTAGGGATTGCCTCCATTGATTTCTTTGGGTCAAAGACGTTTGCATTATTTAGGCTGACGTCCTCCATAAATTATTTTATTACCTGAGGAGAACAATAATCAACATTATATCATTATCCATGTTTTGTCGCTTACTTCGTGGAGGGATTGCATGACAAAAAATAATGTTGTCCCCATTATTCTTCAGCACAACTTGTAAATGTGGGAAGCTTATTCCAAATCGTATTTAAAAATGGTGACGATTTTATCAATCAAGTATTCAGTGAGACATTTAACAGAATAGTCTTATAATCTCTTACATCATTTTACACTAATTTTCCTCAAGGAATGCTGCTACGCTAAGAACGCTTAAATTCTTTGTTTTTTATTCTTTAAATGAATCATTTGATGTTTTTAATTAGTTTTTAGTAAATAACTACTACCTACGAGTTATTATACATATACTTACATATACATTATATACACTTTGTTTCAGTCGGAACCTGGAAGCCTGGAATGTGTAATTGCTTTGAGCGTTATGGGTACACTTATGTTTCAGATCACGTTGTATTGCGCTTACGGAAATGAAGTTACTATTCAGGTAAAGCGTTATTAAGGATCCTCAGATCCTTTATAGTTTTGTATTGTCGTCCGTCCGTCCGTCCGTGTGCGCTCTAACTCTTTTTAAAAGTGGCCGATTGGGTTGAAATTTGATGTACGGGTACTTTGGACATTAAGGTCGGACGCGATTTTTAGGAAACTGGTTCAACAGGAACAAAAGTTATAGGACTTCGAGTGAATCGGGAACAGGAAAAACTGCGCGCTCAATATAATAGAAATCAACATATTTCATTCCCTAGGTCATGTATCGAGTTCGGACTTTCGGAATAATCATTCCCTATGACTGTTAGATGTATAACAATTCAATATAACTCTTCTCTGTGGTCATAGCTCAAAAGTTTTAGAGCAAAATGTACCCAAAATTATTTTTTACATGTTAAAATCGATATTTATGCACCAATCTCGTTGGGAAAAAGACCAAGAACATTATCTCAATGACCAAAACATGAATTTGATCTATTTTTGGCAAACACATGAATTTTGATCAAAACATGTCAAAATCGTTATTCTTGCACTGATATCCTTGGGAACCAGATTAAGAGCATTATCTCAATGACCAAGACATGAATTAAATGTATTATGTAAGATTAAAATAAATTGTCGTTAAAGTGATTGTAATACTGAGGATCCTTCGATATTTCGTTGTATCGGTTTATTTCTATTGTTTTTACTGATGTCATTCATATAACCTTATATTAAGGGATGGAATCAATAAATGCGTATAGGTCAGTTATAGTTATTTATATGCAATGATTGTATAAATGAGGCGTTTTATTAGTGAGTGAGATGTTTAGTCCACGAGCTCAGCGAGTGGACTAAATTCGAAGTTCGAACGAACCATTAAATCGCGGATTTACATGAATTGCATACCAGGTTTTTTCGTCGACCTCGCTGGGGTAGGTCACTGTAAATTAAAATATAAGAAAGTAGAATCGAAATTACAATAAGCTTCCACGATTTTCCACTAAATTACAGATAATGCCATTGTTCATTTTTACTTTTATGTCATTTAAAGAGCAGTTTTTTCTGATTTCAAAAATGTAAATATTACTATTTTTAATAAGAAATGGCGTTATTAATTCGTAAAAACGCAAGAAACTACGAACATCCACTACCCAAGGCAAAGTTTGCCAGGCAAAAAAGAAGATATTTTAACAATATTTAAAAGTGATGTTTACATTTTTGAAATCAGAAAAATGCTCTATCAAATGACACAAAAAGTAAAAATGACTTCCATAAGAAAAAAATAAAGTTGATGATGGTTAACTGGAGACGAAACGTCAGACTTAAAATTTAAAACTAGCATCTTGCAGATGCAAGAAACTGGCCATAATAATGTATATTTTGAAATATCTTTTTAAATAACTTCTGTAAAAAAAAAAAGGTTTTGCAAAATTTCGTTTTTTTCAGGATCCTAAAGTAGTGGGAATTTTTTGAGTTTCAAACCGGCATTTTGTTAAGCATCAAAATACGCAACTTTGCCAATTTAAACTACCTACCTATCTCGTACAGTTTTCGAGATCACCATGGTGGGTCTTGAATTTGAATCAGCCTGTATATGAAGAAACTGTAATCAATACAATGTTTAACAAAATTCTATAATCTCGAGTACTCAACTTTTAATTTTAGTCAAAAATAATTTTCGTCTCTTCAGTTTCCACTTCGCTCATTAACAGCATAATTAAACAGGCAACAATGTGTGAAAAATTGTTTTCAAATATTTCATGTTCAGTTTTCTATCCGAAAATTAGTTGCATAGATATACAAGTATAGGCTTTGACTGATCAAATATTTTGAGAATAATAGTAAATCGAAGTTTCATAAAATTATAGGATAATTTATTTACAAGCACGTTTTTGAGCTCCTTCGAAATGAGAAAACAGAATAAATACTGAGATCAATTTTGCTCGTTTCAAATTACATTTCAGAAATAAATTACGAAATAACTAGGGATAGGGTTGTGCATAAAAACTGCCTTTTTATACCTACTGTTCGATATTCAAAGGCAAAAAAGTTTTTTGCGTGAATAAAGATTCAACTCACTTGAGTTAACAATATTATAGCCAAAGCTTGCGTACAAAACTTTTCTTATTCTTTCATCGTATTTAATTTGCGACGAGTATACTTATATATCAAAATATCTATCACAAATGCTGCAACTCTTCGCAAATAACAATTAGTATTTAGTTTTGTTATTCCAAGGAAACGTAATTGTAATTCAAATTTAAATGATATTTTAGAGCGCTATGGTTTTGGACGCCTGTTACATGACTGAATGGATATATTGTGGCCCAGAAGTGCGCCGAAATTTATTCCTTATTATGGAACGTTCTAAACGTCCGTTGGTGTTAACAGCGGGCAAATTTATAAACCTGTCCCTTTCGTCATTAGTTTCAGTAAGTCCATGAATGATGAAATTGACTCAATTGTAATTATTTTTTTAGGTGATCAAATCTGCTGCTTCTTATGCAATGGTTTTGTACCAACTGTACCACTAATTTACGCACGGCATAGAATCACATTTATACAGGTGTCATTTAAAAATGAAACTCGTGCACAACCAATATAGTTTACGTACTGTATCATATTATGAACTTTTTTGCTGATAAGTAATTTCTAAAATACTTTAAGAATATTTTGTGCAGTTCGATTCGTTTGTATGTAAATTTATCTTTGAGTAAGAGGGGTTGGAATTGGAAATATTCCTCGTGCATCACTCTCTCGAAATCGATATTTCATACTTGCATGAATCCTGCACTCGTATTTGCCTCGTGTGGTAAAGATCGCATCTCGTGTGTTTAAGGTTCGTTATGTAGTAAATACAATATGTAATGACTGTACAATAAATTTACGTTCACTTACTTTCTTTTAATACCTAGGTACAGTGAAATAGACGTGTACTTTCATGCATTATTTGATTTGATTTAGAAACTCATTAGACAACAAATCGGAATAATCATCACAGTCATGGAGTGTGGTTTTAACATATAGATTCACTTTACTTATGTTCAAATTGATACCACAAGGAGATTTTCATTTAGATTACTTGTGACCACCATTGCTTAGTTCTGTAAAATAGCAATGTAGGTCCTTGGTACCCACCAATGTTCACTCTCATTTGTTTTTGGCGTATTTTCCTCAAAGTGAAAATCGCTATTGGCTGCACTTTGACATATATTGTGAACCACTTGGCTGACGAGTATAGCCCACACAAAACAAGTTAAAAAGTCATTATGCAAACATAAATGAAGAAGTCGTATTTTCCTAGGACTGGAAAAAAATACCGGTAGGCACGAGATCCTTACCCCATTCTCTTTCAAATGAACCGCCTATCGTCGAAGTCTATACAGTTTAATGAAAAATAGTGGAGTGTATACAAATACATACAAATTTTGAAATGGGCATTAGTTTTACTTTTATTCGAAGTGTTCACATATGGAACATTTTATAAATGCTTTCGTAAATAGCGTTGAGCAGTGTCTACATTAGAAATTTCATTGAATACCTTCATAAATAAAACATACATACAGCATGCGTAAACAGTAATTTTAAATTTAGTTTCATTCCAGGTGCCTAAGTACATATGATATTTCATTTAACTGCTTTCATACATAAGAAAGTTGGCATTGCGTATGCGCAAAATAAAATTTTGAAAACGTCGTTAATTTTACTTATATTCGTAGTGTTTACATATAAAGTTTCATTGAAATAAATACGTCATAAATAAAAAAGTTAGCATTGCACATGCGTTAAACCAAATTTTTGACACTGCGCATGCGCAAAACAAAAAAATATCGGTATGTACGGAATATTTGGACCAAGTCCTTTCAAATGAGCCCCATATCGCCCAAATCGGTTCTGTGGTTAAAAGGAGAACGTGTGAGGGGCAGACGGACGGACGGACGGATGGGCGACAAAGTGCAGCCAATAGCGATTTTTCACTTGATGAGGAAAATACGCTAAAAAATAATATATACTGTTTTGAAAAAATCCCAAATAACACGTCATAAAAATCAAAATCGAGAAACATAAAAACAAAACGGGGAGATATGCGTTTGATTAGCGGATTCTTACCGCATGCAGTACACTTCTGCAGTGGAAATATTCTTTCCCCGTTTCCACACAGGGTTGGAGTAACGTCTTATTTAAGTCAATATTGAAAATAGTGGTTGCGTTTCAGTTTTTTCACAAAAGGCAATTTACGAGGAGTGTACAGAAAGTAACGACAATTTTTAAATTTCGCGGGTTTGGAGCCTCCGATTGTCAATGTTGGTATACATGCTGTATTCATAGTATACTTTGTTTATTGCAGCCGCTAAGCTTAGACGTGTTTTTATGAGTTCGGTGATCTTCGTTTATTAAAAAAATGGATCAAAGAATCTGTATCAAATTTGGCGTAAAAAATGAAATAAGGCGCAACAAAGTGTGTAATGTTAACAAAGGCCTATGGTGAGTCTGCTACGAGTAAAACGAGGATTTACAAGTGGTGTAAGCATTGTTTACGAACCCTAATAGATTAGAGTCTTGTGTAATTTCGGCAAGCCGAGTGTGTGAAAAGAAACGCAATAATGTTTTGTTTGTAAATCTGGTTTTTTACACTTTTGAACATTTTCAGTAACGAATAGTGGGGTTTAATATATGTTTTAAGTGTTTGTCCTGAATTTCTGCGTGACATTTTAGTATGCTGATATTTTTTTATGGGTTATACTGGGCGACCAGGTGGTTCACAGGGCAATATCTGTCATATTAAATAAATAAGCTTAATGAAAAACAAAATTCCTATTGAAAAATTCTTTTATTTTCTGACAAAAAATATGAAACCATCAACCGTATGATCAGATTATTCATTTGTTAGCACTACCGTAACCATTTATTTCAATATTGACAATTCTAAAGGCAGTACAAAAACAGCTTACAATCGTCATACAATGGAAAATGAACACAACATATTTATACATTTATAAAGATATAGCGGAATTTAGATACTACTGAGCTACTACAGCTTCGCATTTGCTGTTGAAAATGAAGGCATTATATGTATGTAAAAGTATCCCGGGAACATGTTCCATACCGCGCAATTGGGAAGTTACCGCGCAAAACATATTAGAGCAAAGAAAACAGCTAAAAACTCTAGGTTTATGCGATCTTTTTTCAGATTCTGATCAAAGGCCCCCTAGCCCTAATTGCACCACAGTAATCTGGTCACCCCGCGGAAGCCGCATTTGAAAAACTTCCAGAGAGTAATTTCACTGTGTTCTTTTTCCACCAACGAAATTCCCCTTTTAACTTTTGCGGGCTGTGCAATTCCTCTATACAGACCTATACGTTCGCTTCGAGGGTTAAATATGTTTCTCTTTCCAAACATCTTACCACAATCCATTTTAAATGCACGACAAGTAGACACTAACTTGCAATGAAATCATTTATTGTAGACGTACCTTATTAATAACGTGTTTGTATTGCTCTTTTCATATTCAATAGTTTTTCGCACTTTAACTATTTAAAATGTGTTAATGGGTAACTTGGTAATCGACAGATTGCTACTAATTTAAAGGAAATTTCGCACTTTAACGGATCTATTTAATAAACTAAGTTTGTGTACAATCAAAACGCAAATACTTAGTCATTATAGTGACTTTGAAAAGTACCTAATTTGGGTCTATATTTTACCCATAACGTAGAATGAAAGTCTCATTGAATGCGCTGTTGCTACGTACAACTTTGTTAGATAGCATTAATTTTGTATTATTATTATAACATTTATGTAGGGAAAATATACTCGTACTATAGTTACTACAATACCAATAAGTGTACTTATTGGTTTATATAGCATCAAATATTTTTGTACAAAGTTGCATAACAGTATGTATAGTTACATGTATAGGGATTTTTCGATAACAAAACATATTGCCTTCATTACTTTGCAGTCAACTATGATCTTTGTGCCTTATCTGTGCCGTCAAAGGCTAATGAAAGTACCTACATCAAGATCGTGCCTTTTGTCGCCGTCTACGACAAAGGCATTTTAGGAATTTAATTACAGTTATTAAATATAAAGAGTAGTACAGTATAATTTCGATGAAGAGACGGGCTTGAAAGACTTGCATTATTTTATTTCTGTAACCTGGCAAGACGCTAGCAGACTGCAGACATTGGATATTACAGAAAGGTTTAATTTACTGTCCTATTCTCGAGATTTTAATATTAAGCATTTCAAGCTGCATAATTATACATGTATTCGGATTAGTTGAAGAAATATGGACAATTATGAATTATAAGTATACCAACACATATGAAATTCACATCAGAAGGAAGTAAAGTGTTCCAAAAAGCAAAAAATCGTAAAGAATTGAACAATTCAGATAGATCATCTGCACTTTTCGGAATAACGCAGTGTGATCTTGATTCGCCAAATTATAATGGGCCACGAACTTATAAATTAAGATGGACTGCTAATGCTGAATTGACAAATGACACCTACGAGCCATGATGGCAGCCATGATGTGCACTCACTTGGCGCGAAATTCAAATCAACTAATAAACAAGCATTAACCTCACGTTTTCTAAATAAATTACTGTTACACATGTCATTTTCCAAGGCTGCAATAGTCTCAAAAGATGAGCACTAGGAAAATTCCCCTAAAAAATAACTAAAACGTGCACATCATGGCCGCGCCCATTTCCATTTCTACCTCTATGCAACTGTTTGATCAGCAGTCCATCTTAATTTATAAGTTCGTGTAATGGACCCTGCCTGTAACGGGTGGTTACTTTGTAATTTGGAAAATTAAGTTTTACATTTGTATTTCATTCAACATTTAGAGAAATTTATACATATACCGCTTCATAGTAAACGTGAACGAAAGCATGTCTAGAGATAAGAGCAATAACGATGTGCATTTCGAATAAAACGGCGCAGTTCTTGACCGTGTTGACTGTTCTAAAAACCGTTGGTGCGCAGAGTTAGGGATGCTCTCACGTTTATGGGTGTGTATGTAGACATGGTTAGGTTCCGTTTTCGAATTTTCTAGCGAGCGAAATACAAATAGCCAACGAAAATCTAAACTTATGAGAAAAATACGGTGTGAATATAGTAGTAGGCAAATAGCATTGAATAACAAAAAATAAAAACAATTAAATTAAGAGATATACCAAAACATGAAATGCAATCTAAAGGGTAAACAAAATTAAGTGACTAACACTAATATAACTAAAGATTTCGATTAATGTAATGTAATATTGGAATAACTGTCATATAGGGGCTAGGGGAACTAGACCATATTTTTATCACGGAGTGAGTGACCTCCTAGCACCCCCAACCCCTCTCTCAAATGGCACCACCCCCTTTGTCATACCCTTAAATGAATAAATTAAAGGTCTGATTGAGCAGTAAGTATTCATCTGCCGATCTGACGCCTCTTGATTTTTTCATCTGGGGCTACTTGAAAACTGTCGCCTTTAATACAACCTGCGATTAGTTTGCTTGTATTAGAAAGAGGTGGCATTAAAGTGGCAGCTCCAATAAGAAAGTTAGTCTTGCACATACGTGCAACACGCCCGATTTGTGACATGTTTGACCGTTTGACGTAAGGAATCGACTTACGTTTAATAGGTGTCATTGCTGAAACTTCAAAAAATCGGTCCATTTATAAAAGTTGGAATCAAAACACTTGTGCCACGATATGATAAGTGCCTCAACTTGAATGGCGCTTGTGTTGACAAATAGCCCAAGGGTGTCACCCCCAAATGTATATAATAATAGATTTTCTCTACAAGTTTAAAATTTTTTATTTGAAAACGTCTGCTACTTTCTGGACAACCCTCGTATCTAGCATTTCTTGGTGATCACCCTGTATAAATAGAAAAAAATGTCGCTTATCGATATTTATAGAAATACACTGACTAGATTGATCACATTATTTTATTCAAGTTAATCATATTGTATCATGTACCCTGTATTGTATTATGACAGTAATTATAAATTATACATAACATACATTTATAACACATAGTATAGAAAAATCATATTAAAGTGAAGTGGTGGTCTTTTGTTCACTGGGATTTGGACAATTTACTACCCCCGTGCTGAAAAAGAAAACAAGATGAGTAGTACTAAAACATGTGATAACATACAATATAGTAAAATGAATCATAATCTTAAATGGAGTCTGAAAATTTAAACATTTCCATTGCCTCATACCACAACACAAACATTAAAAGAAAGTAAATTCACATACGTAGTATGAAGGTCAGATTGAGATGGCGGCGACCACTTATACAAAATGTTATATCGAAATAAATGACCAAATGTTGTCCGAAACATCCTATTCATACAGCAGTATAATATAAAATTTATGCTTCCATTTAATAGTGCTAGAATATCCAATACCTCTCCAAAGTTCTGGTAGCACTTTAAAAACACACACTTTCCTCGTATTCCCATGTATAAAGCAAGTAAACCTTGAGGAAATTCAGTTACCAAAAACAAGCATAACACTGCAACCAACATTTTCGTTGTCCTATCCGCTCTTCGTTCTCCTTTATTTTTCGATTTGCTTTCGGGAATTGCGCCAAACGCCGTCGGACAGGCGTTGTACCCCTTTAGCACCTGCTTTCTTTTTTTAACTTTGAACAAGGTTCTTATTAGCCATATACTGATTACCGTCAATAAACAGCAAGGGAATAATTTAATGATTACTGCATAAATCCAGAAATTAAGGAGAAGATATGTCTCATTTTTTGAAGCCATGTCACTTAAACTCGTATGGTATAATGTGTACTCTTGGTCTTCCATAATGGTCGTTGACTTTATTTCCAGTATCATGTAAGTGGGCGCGCAAAGCAATACTGGGAGTAGGTAGCTTATCGATATTGCTAAACTACAACGGCGCTCGGTGCAGTATTGGTGAGTCTTTTCTGGATACCTGAAACAAAAAGTTGGCAATTTATTGAAAGCGCCATCAATCTCTTAGATTTTACGCGATGGCTATGAAACGCCAAAATATAGAAACTTTAGTGGGTCAAGATACATTTAGATGACAACAACCAGAAAACGGATTACAGACATTTGGACGTACCCAATGGCGATGTATCTCCAAATAGCCAGCGTTAATGTGAGACAGATTGATATGGTGTGTAATATTTGCGTAAAATTCGCATGGAAAATTATAAAAGCTGCTCCCCAGTATGGAAAATTAAGTTTTCCAGGAAGTTCAATGTAGTAATAGTACGCGAAACTTGTATACTCTACCATGAGAAAAATATCAGCCACTGCAATTCCTGTTAGTATCCTGTTAATTGGCGCAGAAGCCAGATCCTTTCTAGTTAGTACTGCTATTGTTAACATATTTGCCACGATTCCAAATAAACAGACAGTGATAGCGATGTAGCCATGGTAGGTCTGAGAATATTTCAAAGCTATGTCCTCGATGACCCAATTACATGTCTCACATTCCATCTGCCGCGTTACATTTTCATAGTTAAAATTGTCATAGATGTAGCTTTTGAGCAAATTTATATCGGAGGCCGATAAATTAAGTCCTCCCACTGCTGTTCTGTTATCTGCAATTATTGAAGCCAAGTGAATAAACATGCTGATGTTTAACATCTTTAGCGTTAAGCCGTTTTATTCAACTACATCGCGAGACAGTGGACTCACATTCATCATAACTAATCGCTAGCTTCCCCATATAATCTGTAACAAAGAACACACGTTATTGACAATGTTTTAAAAGACAATTTAAAGTAGCAGTATTGGGGTGGGCAAGAGACTTAAAACTTTTGGAAATTTTTCTTACTTTACCAATACGCTTAACGTAATTAACAATTAAAAAAGATCATCATCATGGGATAATGGTCCCAAGCAGCAAATACAAAGAAATAAAAGATAGAAAAACGTGAAAATCTTAATTGCAAACACATTTACAGGATTGTAAAAATAGTATATTAAGATACAAGTGTATAATCAAGTCTTTAAAGCACGCGCAACGAGTTTAAGGGCACGACGCAAAGCGGAGTGCCTTTAACGTTGCAAGTGCTTTAAAGACCAATTATACACGTGTATCTTATAGTATTTTTTATTATACCTGCAGTATAATTTAAAAATAGGAAATACAATGAAATCATATTGACGTTATACTCGAATACATGTCTAATTAAGTGGGCTGGGTGTTCGTAATTTCACGATTGCCATGGAAATGTCACTTGACGTTTGCTTATAAAAATCATCGTCTTTGTGAATTAAACGATTTCCGTTGAAAAAGATAATACACCGTCCATTAAATCGATTGTTGTAAAATCTAAACAAACGTTGGTAGGTGTAAAATCCAACTCCAGTAAAGCCTATTATAAAGAATATGAAAAGTTGTTTCCATGGATGAATAGGAAGTTACTTACGAATACAGTCTTAAATGCATCCATAATGCTGGCATATATGAAGGAAATGTCAAAGGTATTTAAATCTTCTATATTTTGGTGCATTCATTCAAAACTTCGAACAATGCTGCGATTAAAAAGTAGAACAGATTTGGAAGCATACCCTAAATTATGCGCGTTTGTGAAAGCTTCAACCAAAGGATAGGTACAAAAGCCAAAGAAATGTTCTGCATTTACAGAAAGCGACCTAAGAGGAGTTTTTATTTCATCCAGATGACAGTTTCAAAAGTCATACTTGAAGTATCGTTACTTAGCAACTTTAAAGCACGTGTGTTTTAAAGGCCCTTTTTCGCACGCATTTGAGTGTTTAAAACGGAGATTGTGATTCAGGTATAATAAAAAATTATTTTTAAAATATAATGTGTAACGGGGTTTCCCAATACAGAAATTTAAAAGAAGGCAGGATCCAATTTTAAGGACGAATGTATGAGGGTTTTACTATTAGACGGAAACTATAACTAGTAGTTCATTTATTAATAACCCAAATTCGTATATTATTGAACCATAAAGCCTAATTTACATTTGGCAAGTTTACTGGCGGAAAGTACTTTCTGCTACCCTATTTCTATTTAAATGACACTCTCCGCGCATTTACATGTGACAAGTTTACTGGCCGACAGTACTTTCCGCCAGTAAACTTGCCAAATGTAAATTAGGCTTAAGGTAGCTAAAAGGGAAAAAAAAATTGTAACTTTTTCGTGTCTTACTGTAAAGTTTATAACCTGTAATTAAACATCTCATATACAAAACTTTTTTTTCTAATTGCAACATGTCAGGAAACAACATACAATATCGTAAAACTTTCAAATTTTGTCATGCAACCGACGACATGCCGATATTGGCCGAGCGTCGCTTACGTCACTACGCAAGTTGCCGATCGGGAGTTATATTAGTGCATGACACTGATAAGAGTTCGATTCGACTTATTATGGCAATCTGCCATAAACTGAGTTCTGACTGGTTCGTAAAGGGGCAGTTAGATAGTCTGCCAAAGGTTGAAGTGTTAATGGTCGCCGCCTTTTTCTCGAAAAGTGAGTTTTTCCATGCCACTCGTTTGAGTGGAGTCAAAGCCCAGAAGCAAATCTGTTATGGTTCATAGGAAGTATAACATCCAGTTTTGTGTGTATAGTGCAAGGTATAGTGTAGGTACCTAATAAAGTATGCACCTTACGGGTTTCAACGAGAAAATTAGGGTGTTGGATATGTGGAAGTGAAAATAGAGAAAAATGTAAGGCCACAGATATGCCCAGAACAGAGTTCGAAGTAAATCATATTCTGAATTGCAATTACAATATTAGATATCGATGGATTTTCGTCGATAACTGACTGAAACTAAATCGACATTATGTACTTTAATTAATTAGAATCGTCTTCACAACAATACAAATGGGATGTCAAACTCGCGGTATCACGTCGAACTTTTTTCGTATATTTCCTGTTGGGACGTTTATATACAATTTATTAGGTTCGCGATGACTTCTGCTATCACACTCAGGTACAAATGCAATAATTATTCGACGCTTTTTTCCGTCAAAACGACGTTTTCTTTCTCTGAATCGATTGTAAGCAATGCTACGGCTGAGCGCCAACGCGCGTAGTGACGTCACTGCAATGTGGCGGTCATTCGAAACTTTTCAAACGCCGTTCATTTTAAAATCGTGTTTGCTAATCACAACGATTTCTCTTGACAAAAAAATGAGTACCACTAATTTTTTTAATGGGCTTGGAGTTCATTTTCAAGGTTTTTGAAAAAACGCGGAAAACCCAATTGGAAATATAAAGTAATAAGCGCGGTTAGAAATACAATTCAACAGCACGTATTTCTTTAGCATTTCAATGCGATTTATTTATACCATTAAAAGCACCAGTGGCCAGAGCTGGGCAGTATTCGATTTTGTAAATACTTTTTAGTATTCAAATCCTTTAAAGTATTCAAATACTTTGTAATTAAATACTTTTATGGAAGCAGTATTTGTATTTGTAACTCAAATACTTTCACAAATATTTAGTATTCGAATACTTCGCAAAGTACTTGGATACTTCGTAAAGTATTCGAATACTTCGCAAGGTATTTGAATACTTTGAGAAGTATTCGAATACTTCGCATAGTATTTGAATAGGTACTTAACCTTCCTTTTTTACCAAAAATCGACTACTCCAAAATTTCTCGGGAAAACACCTTTTCTTATTAATTTTGGTGCGTAGAATCCAAAACAATTCGTACTTTTTCGATCAGACTTCTCAATCAAAAGTTATAGACTAGAAACCAATTTCGAAAAAAATTCAAAGGGCTGTAACTTTGAACTAGTAGCCCAATCTTGGAACTGTTTGAAATTATGGATTCTACAGGCCACATTCTATAAGAAAATTTTTTTTCCGGGTCGATCTGAGCCAATTTTTTTTCGGTCCTTTTTTCGGGCCTCAAAAAGGTAGTGCGTAGAATCCAAAAACAATTCCGTTACTCTTTCGATCAGATTCTAAATCAATAAGAACTGTAACTTTTTGAACTAAGTAGCCCAATCTTGGAACTGTTTGAAATTATGGATTCTACAGGCCACATTCTATTAGAAAAATTTTTTTCCGGGTCGATCTGAGACAATTTTTTCTGAGGGCCTCAAAAAAAGGCAGTGTAATACCTTCCTTTTTACCAAAAATCGACTGCTCCAAAATTTCTCGGGAAAAACACTTTTTCTTATTAATTTTGGTGCGTAGAATCCAAAACAATTCGTACTTTTTCGATCAGACTTCTCAATCAAAAGTTATAGACTAGAAACCAATCTCGAAAGAAAATTCAAAGGGCTGTAACTTTTGAACTAGTAGCCCAATCTTGGAACTGTTTAAAATTATGGATTCTACAGGCCACTTTCCATAAGAAATTTTTTTCCGGGTCGATCTGAGACAATTTTTTTTTCGAACCTCAAAAAAAGGCAGTGTATAACCTTCCTTTTTTACCAAAAATCGACTACACCAAAATTTCTCGGGAAAACACTTTATTTTATTAATTTTGGTGCGTAGAATCCAAAACAATTCGTACTTTTTCGATCAGACTTCTCAATCAAAAGTTATAGACTAGAAACCAATTTCGAAAGAAAATTCAAAGGGCTGTAACTTTTGAACTAGTAGCCCAATCTTGGAACTGTTTGAAATTATGGATTCTACACGCCACATTCTATAAGAAATTTTTTATTCCGGGACCATCTGGGACAATTTTTTTTTCGGGCCTCAAAAACAGGCAGTGTATAACCTTCCTTTTTTACCAAAAATCGACTGCAGCAAAATTTCTCGGGAAAACACTTTTTCTTATTAATTTTGGTGCGTAGAATCCAAAACAATTCGTACTTTTTCGATCAGACTTCTCAATCTAAAAGAAACCAATTTCGAAAGAAAATTCAAAGGGCTGTAACTTTTGAACTAGTAGCCCAATCTTGGAACTGTTTGAAATTATGTATTCTACAGGCCACATTCTATAAGAAATTTTTTTTTCCGGGTCCATCTGAGACAATTTTTTTTTCGGGCCTCAAAAGAAGGCAGTGTATAACTTTCCATTTTTACCAAAAATCGACTACACCAAAACCACAGGAAAACACCTTTTCTTATTAAATTTCGTGCGTAGAATCTTAACCAATTTGTACTTTTTCGATTAGATCTCTAAATATAAAGTTGTGGACAAAAAACAAATTTCGAAAAAAAATTCAAAGGGCTGTAACTTTTGAACTAGTAGCCCAATCTTCAAACTGTTTGTAATTATGGATTCTACGGGCCAAATTCTATAAGAAAATGTTTTTTCCCGGTCGATCTCAGACGATTTTTTTTCCGGCCTCAAAAAAGGGCAGTGTATAACATTCCTTTTTTACCAAAAATCGACTACACCAAAATTTATTCAAATATTTGAGAACAATTTAGAAATGTTTAGGGAAAGTTTCCATTGTCACAAAATCAAATATAAGAATCCGATACAATCTGAATACCGAACGATCCTGGAGTGAAACTTTTTGACTGGATAGTCTACGTAACTTAAAAACAATAGGGACCTTTCTTATATCCTTAAGACCATGTGTACCAATTTTCAAAGCGATCGCACGTTTCTAAACAAACTATCATGCACACGGACAAACGGATGGTCAAAAATGGATCTGTTCCAAAATCGCTAGGATTAATTTCAGAAAGGCGTACGTATCATGTGCACGACGTTTGTACTCCCCTTAAATTTGTATATAACAATAGAAATATAAAAAAAGCTAACCTCATACAAAGTATAAC